TATGGTGAAAAAAAGATATCTGAGCATTAGCAGTGGGATTTCATCTGTAATACATACATCAAAATAGCAAGAGGTAAAGAGCTTTACAATGGGTGCTTCATATATAAAAAACAGCATGATCTCCAGTTGTAAACAAGCAACCTGTTCTGCACAGATAAGGAGAAAATAAAAATTAATCAAAGTAACTAAATGATTGTTTCACATAGGCAGTCATAATGCAGACCTACCCTCCTTTTCTCTACTTGGGGCTATTTTTCCACTTCAATAAAATAAACTTTTTTTTTTCACACTGGTCCAACTTTGCCCTTGCCTTTGCCTTAAAGACATTACTTTGAAGAATAATTTTTATTATTTTTTCATAGCCAAGTCTAAGGGTTTTCTAATCTCCCCTGAAAAAGAATTTGTCAATCTACCATGTAAAAATCTTACCTGTATTGTACAGAGACTCAATGCATTTTAATACAGTTTTGATGTTAATTTGACTTTGTTGGTATGTTTTTGTAGTCAAAGGCCATGGGTCTTAAATCTAAGAAGGAAGACACTTTGTATTTTTTTTGTATTTTTTTATAATAATTTTGTTCCATTCTCTTTCTTGTCTGCTCTCTTTTTCCTGTTTAAAGTACAATGTGTCACAACTATAATAAGGCAAATGATTCCTATCAAACCCATTGCTGTTAAAACTCCTTTCAATATAAGATAATCTCTGGCAGGTACAGGAGCAGAATTGGGGGGAATAAACAGAGATGCCTGGGCAATGTTAGATACAGCAGACTTTAAAGAGTTCCTATCCATTGCTCGTATTGCAACATAAATTCTGTGGCTTCCATTTTCTCCATTGGGCTGATGTTCAGGTCCATTTGTGAAAATTTGCGGTGAGAACATAAATATCTCCCTGGTGCCAGCGGGCTGAGGATTTAGCTTTGATGTATTTACTAAAATGGCATTGTTAAAGTCATCTTGGATATTCTGTAGACTGTTACTCATTCTTATTTCATAGCTTGTAGCTGAAATTAAAAATATAAACAGGAAACAATTCAGCTTGAGTATATCTTCTACTTTGTTAGAAATTACTCATGAAAACAGCAACAAAAAGTCAACATATTTAGGAATAAACATAACAAGAAACATGAATACAAGCAAAACTTTAAATCACTACACAAAAACTCATACTAAAACCCAAGGACTTATTTTTTTTTTTGAAAAGCAAGATTCAACATATAAGATGTTATTTTTTTCCCAAGTCATTTTGTAAATGTTATGTGATTCTACTTAAAATGCCTCATTTCTGCTTTACTTAGTCAAGTTTATTGTAAGTTCATATGGAAATTAAGCAATCAAAAATGAGCATATAAAGCCTGAAAAATAGCAGTGTGGAAGGACTAACCCTACCAGATATACAAATGCTATAATACCTCAATCATTAAAATGCTGTGGTACTTACTGACGCATGAGTAGACATATCAAACAATAGGCCAAAACACATTCAGAAGTTTAGTACATGATAAAGGTGGAATTCAAGTTAATGGCAGAAAAATAAAAGTGTCTCAATAAATGGTGTGAAAACTGGGTAAAAAAATCTGGAAAAAGATGATGGAGGTGGAAGCCTTAAAGTTAACATAAGCCTTAGACAAGGGAAAGTAGAAGAAGCTACTTTGTCAATGTTTATCCAAGCAAGGATAAGAATCCCCTTAATCAGGGGACTGGTCCTGGCCTTCCTAACAAAAATAATGGCCTGAAGTAGGAAACAAAAATGCACCAAGATTTGCATGAGTTATGAGAAAAACTCCCCAAAGCCTACTGATAAATATATGAATAAATATTCACTACCTAACTTTCAGAAAATGAATCACCTCCAGTATTGGGAAGCACATGCTCTGTAGTGCAGAACCCATTTCTGCTGAACAGACACACATAAGCACATAGTGTTTATGCTTCTACACAAGGTTTCTGAATGATTAGTATCAGCAAGTTTTCCACGGCCTCCTCAGTACAGGGGTAGCCTAAATACTGTCCTTCTGGGACTCCAGGATTTAAAGCTTTATCAGCAACTCAGGGCTTTTCACAACAATCCTCTGTACCTTTTTCAGTTCTAAACCCCCAAAGTTATTTTCACTCAACTAACTAGTTATTAGAAATGCTGTCTTATGGAAAAATAGGTACTGAAATGAGCAAACCTACCCTGGCCCTGATCAAAGTCTTCTCCAGGTGCTGTCCAAGATAAAGTTACCTTCTCTTCTACTTTTACAGCTTCCAGGTCAATAATTTTGCATGGTGGAAACACGTCAGGGTGGAGGCCAGCTGGAACTCCCAGCACTGAAAAGGAGCCCCCTGAGCTGACTCGGCTAAAGCCCCACTTTTGCTCCTCCTCATTTCTGCCTACTGGTTTCCTTGGCGCATTCATCTGAATATTACCTGAGACACAAAAGAGAAAAATAGGTAAAACAACAAATTATAAAGCTCCTGAACAGCTTGTTCTTGACACAATGAGCCTTTGTTGAACTTTTTTCTTTTACTACATCTTTAGATTAACTGAGTGTATTTGTACAATCCTTTGTCCACTAATTCATCCATTTATTCAGTAAATATTAATTTATTTAATTTTTTTTTTTTTTTTTTTTTAGACAGAGTCTCACTCTGCCATTCAGGCCTGAGTGCAGTGGTGTAATCTTGGCTCACTGGAACCTTCCCCTCCTGGGTTCAAGCAATTCTCCTGCCTCAGCCTCCCAAAGTAGCTGGGATTACAGGCACCTATCACCACACCTGGCTAATTTTTGTGTTTTTAATAGAGACAGGGTTTCACCATATTGGTCAGGCTGGTCTTGAACTCCTGACCTCAGGTGACCCACCCGCCTCGGCCTCCCAAAGTGCTAGATTACAGGCATGAGCCACCATGCCTGGCCTCGGTAAATATTTATTGAGAGTATATGCTGTGCCAATAATTACAGACAAAACAGTATCCCTCATGGAATTTATAGTCATGTTAATCATATTAATAAACATATATTTACAAAGTATGATAAGTGTAAGAAGGAAAGAAGGCAGGATGCTAGGAAAGAAAATAACATGGTCTATAATTTAGAGTGGTATCAAGGAAGTAACATTGAAAGGTTTCCTAAAGATTGAGTAGTAATTGGCCAGGTAGAGAAGGGTTGGGAAGAGCATTCCAGGCAGAGGGAACAGCAAACCCTGAGGTGAAAAGAGATTTCAAGTTACAAAAGCTAAATTAACTTTGGGAGGTTGAGGCAGGTAGATTACTTGAGGTCAAGAGATCAAGACCATCCTGGTCAACATGGTGAAATCCTGTCTCTACTAAAAATACAAAAATTAGCTGGACATGGTGGTGTGCTCCTGTAGTCCCAGCTACTTGGGAAACTGAGGCAGGAGAATCACTTGAACCCGGGAGGCGGAGTTTGCAGCCAGCCAAGATTACACCACTGCACTCAGCCTGTTGACAGAGGGAGACTTCATCTCAAAAAAAAAAAAAAAAGCTAAATTTTAAAAAAACGAAGAGAGTCATTTGGTATGAGGCAGGAGAGAAGTTTACGCAGGACCTCATGGGCCAATGTAGTGGTTTTAGATTTCAATGTTACATGCTGTAGGGAAGCAGAGGAGTGACAAAATTATATTTGCTTTCTAATAGGACACTCTGGCTGCTTGGTGTAGAATGAATTAAAGCACAGCAAGCAATGAGGTGGCCACTTAGCCAGTCAACAGTCCAGATGAGAACAGCTTGGGATGGGAGATGGCATGGAGGGCAGGGCAAGAAAGATGCAGTTCAAGATGTGTTCTGAAGATGTCAAGCAAAAGCTGGTGATGGGTATGAATATAGAATGGTGAATAAGAGGAAAATGGTTTAAAAGAAAAAGAAAGCGTCCTGGTTTCTAAAATGAGCAAGCTGGGAGGAGAAGCAGGCTAAGGAGAAAAAGACCAAAAATTAAATTACAAGGTTTGTGATTCCTGTAAAACATCTAATTCAAGATGTTAATGAGCCATTTAGATATGGATTTTAAGCTTAAAAAACAAATTTTAGCAAAATTTAATAATTTTAAAGTTATGAATTTGGAGGTTATACACAAATAGATGTTATTGAAGGCATATGGATTAATGAGATTAACTAAAATAATTTTTACTGTAATGATAAGTAATATTTATTGAGCACCTACTATGTGCCACGCACTTTTCTAAGGCCTTACATGAATCAAATATTTAATTTTCCCAGCAAGGCTATGAGAAGGGTACAATTATTGTCCCTATTTTTTTAGACGATGAAACTGAGACACACAGAAGCTAAATCACTTGCCCAAAGTCACACAGCTAGTAAATGGAGGAGCTGGGTTTCAAAACCAGGCAATGTGACTCCAGACGGTAGAGTAAGAAGGTTCAGACTGAGCTCTGAGAATTGCCAACATTTAGAGGCCTGGTAGAAAAAAAGGAGCTGGAAAAAAAAAAAAAAAAGCCTGATAAAAATTCCAGAAAATAAGAGGTAATAGGAAGAGTGAGCTATCACAGAAACCAGGAAATGGCAAAGGAGAGATCAATTGGCTGTGTCAGATGCTGGTGAGGTCAGGAAGAATAAAGACTGAAAAACAGAATCATGTTATGGAATAGTCTAAACGATTAGTTGTAACTTCAAAAATACAAGAATAATATTTATAAAGAATCTGCAAATTTTGAAATAAAAATGCTTAGAAGTCTTTTTTGAAGTTGTTTTTAAAGACTATAGCATAATATATTTCTGTTTGTCTATTATACTTTAAACACTCCTTCCTATCAGGAACTGTTATAATGGTGTTAAGAAGATATGTATCTTCCATTTATTTTTCACTTTTATCTCGAAGGAAAACAGAATATCTTCAGGAATCACTTAGTTGTCTGTAACATCCAAGCTCATATTTATTCTAGGAACTCATTTCTTGTTGGACTGTTTCGGCTGTTGGCCTCCTTCTTTCAACTGTTAATAACTTTTTGCCTCTTTCTTTTGCCTAAACCTCTATAGAATAAACACAGAAGCAGAAACTGAGAAAACCCAATAAATCTCTTTATCTATTAGTAATTCCGATGAAACAAGAAAAAGGTCAACATAATGACTAAAATGAAGGTAGGTATAATCTGTGGGCATTACCTATTGCCTTCCTGTTACTGCCATGAATCAATGAGGATTGAAGAAACAGTCCACAAATTACATATGGACTTAAGCATAAAGAGTTTTGAAATTCTCTTTTACTCCCTGCCACTCCAGTATGTACATACACCCATCAGAGGTATGTACATGAAATGATGTTACTAAAATAACAGTGCTAATGGTTCTTACCATTTGCCGTGTAACCTGGTACATACATAGCACGACTCCCTGGATTAGAGTGGGCTAGGATGGTTATGCTGGGAGAATGATTGGCATGCACTTTCAAGCTATATCTACCATTTACAGCGAAGGAGAAAAAATACCTCGAGTAAATTCCATCATTTTTTATAACATCAGCACCTGTATATATAAAAAAACAATGTCAACATTTGTTATCATAGTAGATTACTAATACTTAAGTCATTAAAATGAGATTTACTCTCCTTATTCTTTCTGTGTAAGATATATTATCATGCTCTTACCTACTTTTTATATTCTCAGGTGATGAAAAACCCAGTGGGTCCATAATTTCTCCCTAAAATTTCTTATCTCAGAAAAATGATTTTCTGAGGGTGAATGAGTTTGTACCATGCTAATAAAACATTTAATAATCACCTTTAACATTCTTGTTCTTATCATTGAAAATAATACCGTTTTTTTTCTAGGAATCAAGCACATTCTTAGGGTTGCTTGTAGTCATAGACCCTTTTGAGATATTAATAAAAGCTATTTTGTCTCTAGGAAATAAATATATATGCACATATGCATATTTTCATACAGTCCCAAGGGTTATATGAATGTCTTGAAGTCACTTGATTAAGGACCTTTAATGAATAAAAACTTTGATAGTTTATAAAATAGTGTGACATTACTTAATTTCCTCATTAGAGGGTATTTGGAACTGTTTTTCTAGATTCTAGGAGGCTTGATGACCTGGAGTTTGACAGAATTTTGTTGCGTCCACTGTGCCTTGCTTCAGGGGGCCTTCTGAAAGGTTAGCCAGTGCTGTACTTTCTTCCTCTTGCATTGATCTTCAGAGAACAGTTCAATTTCAAGCCAACTTCATGACTCAGTGGCAGGAAGACTTAGACCCCAGGGCAGCAGAGGGAAGTCCAGCTTAGCCCAAGTACAGATCACATTCGCCATTCAATTGCAGGTGGCCAATTGGGCGAGCAGCTTGTCCTCTATCCTAGAGGTCAATGCAGTTCTCGTACCACAGACACAGCCCTGCCCACCAGCAGTGTATCATTGCTAAAGTGTCCCCAGAATCTCCCTCTTCCCCACTGCAAAGGTAGGGCTCCTTAACATAAGAAAAGTAGGAGTATATTTAAATCAAATCAGAAGTGCTAAACATTTTATTATCAAGGTAGATTTAGAATTTTTTTTTGTCTGTTGTAAGAAATCAAATGTTGATATTTAGTGGTTGAATGATTAATAAGGTTTGTCTTTGTTGAGAAATTACAAAGGAAAACCTCTCCATATTAAAGTCACCACTGCCACCTCTTTTAATCACTGAGGAAGACAGAAATGGAAAAAGAACCTTCACTTGGGAGACAGAGGAATTGGTTTGAAGGCCTGCATCTGTCACTTAGTAACTATGAGGTTTCATGTCTCTGAGCCTCAGTTTTCTCATCTATAAAATGGAGATAACTTATCTTGCAGAGTTTTTGTGATGATTATTTTAGAATATGCACAAAAAGGTACATTTTTAATTGTAAATCATTTCAGAGGTATACATTTTATTATAGCTCATTTACTGAGCAGTTAAATATTGCTTCCATTATAAAAATAGTATTAAACAACTAAGTACATGTTACGTTAAGCATTGATTGGAGAGGAAACAATTTACATTTTGATGCCTGAGCAGTATTTTTTATTGTTTCTTTTTTTAGGGTATACATTTAGATATCAAACAAATAAATTAGTTCCAGGGAATAATATAAAAATCTATTGAGCTGTTTCAGACGATTTTCCCTAGGAGAGTAGGATCTGTTCTCCAGGCTAGCCCACAGGCTGGGGCAAGGGAGAAACATTCTGCAAAAGTGCATTTTTGGACCATAAACAAAAAATGAAAGCCATGGATAAGCAATCAGAGCATGAGAAGTTCATTTGGATCCAATCCAACAGGCAAAACAAGAAGACTTCTCTGGTATCCCCCTGAGGTGGACTTGAACCAAAACCCTTTGAATGAACTTTTGTTTTCCTGCACATCATACGTGATTGCCATGGCAAGATACTAATGGGCTGCCAAACATAAGACTCTTGAAAAAAGATTAACTTTGAAAAAAAAGGGCAAAAGAATATAATTTTGTTAGTAGATCAAATACTTCGGGCTGCCAACAGAGGCAGGCCTACTGCCATTCTGAGAGTGTAATTTAGGAAAATAACCAAATAGGAAAGATGGAACAACAAAGGAATTTGTTTTTAAAAGAGCCCAAATGCTGCTATTTACCTGGCTGGATGCTGTACTGTCTGTTATGTATAATGTATAAAAGGCTCTGAACACTGTATGTGCAGAATGAGAGCTTTTCTATATTCTGATTCCACTAGGCTTGCAGGCTGGGTCTTCTTGGGACCAAATCACACATGTAAAACGCATTGACTGTGCTAGAAATGAGCTGTGCCCTTTCATCAACACAGCCTTTTGGGTCTAGTGTCAACTTATAGGTCACAAGTTCACTTTCCAGTTTTTTCTTCACAATTGGGTCCAAAGGGAAAAAGTGGGCTTGCTGTCACTGCACCTCGCTTCTGATTTTCATTTGCTATTTTAACAGTCCAATCTGATTACTTCAGTGAATAGTAAAGCTGGTGACTCTTAGAGGAAAATAAGTATGTCATAAGGACATAGAAGCCTGTTCCTGTATGACCTCATCAAGTGGAAGCCAGGACTAAGGTGTCCAGCTTCCCACCCTTTGCTCAAACACAGACACTACAAGGAGCCTCATGAGGACTGTCTTTTTCCATGTCACCCTGTAGCTTTTCAGGTTATCAGTAATTCTATAAGAATTTTAGAATATTGTAAGATTAAGAAAGATAATTGAACTGAAGGAATCTTACAGATAAGCTTAATATTGATACTACCACATCATATCATAGCAGCTGTTGAGAACATGATAAAATGTCATGACATTCCTTGTTACCTGCTCCATCATCAAGAAGTCTCAGCGTAACAGGATCTCCAGTCTCTGGCTCAACTGTGGCAGTAACAGTGGCATTAAGAATGGGATAAAATCCCTTTCTCACATTGGCATAAATCATCACAGGATGGGGAAAATGGAGGCTGTCTCTTTCCACAAAGGCATCCACAGTAACTGGGGGCACAGCTGAGCTGGAGGCACGAGAGCTCACTGTCACTTTCAGGGCTTGCAGAGAATGATGGGTATTGTTCAGTGTGTAAGTCCAGTGCCCAGCCTGCAAAACAAGTCTTATTGTTTTGGAAAGGGTGAAAGAAAATCAACCCTATTTCTAAAGCATATACCTAAGCTTTTGGAGAATTTTGCTCTGGTTTTGTTGATGATGCACTTTTTAAAATACTACAAAAAATGTCAGGAAAAGTAGCACTGGCTAAGGGATGAATAAATTCATATTTCCATGGCTTTCATAGCATAAGTCACCTTTATTGCTAGGTAATTCCTTAGGGAATTACACCTTGGATTTATTTGGAGTGAGGGAGGACACATCTTGATCCCCATTTTTAGAAAGTAACAACAGTCTCCAGCTTCAAAGTACTTTACAGATATTAATTTGAGCCCTTTCCCCAAACAGGAGTGTAAGTGTTTTTCATTTTAAAACTGAGAAAATTACATCAAATTAAGTGGACCATTGCAATTTATGTGGACACCGTGGACTAAAAAGGCAACAATATCCTTTTTTAACTCCATTTCCCACAAAACTCCACACTCAGAAATCTCAAGCAACAAAAAACACATACCCTATTAGGGACCAAGAATAGGATCTACTATTTTTAATAGGCCAGGATTACACAATATCTAAGTTGAGTAATTTATAGAAATACTACTAAGAATAATTTATAGAAATACTGCTAAACACCACTCTTGCCTGTCTGCCTGGGAAAAACCTACAACAGACAATCTGAAAGAAAAAGACTAAAATAACAATATAGAAGAAATTTGTCCTTTTGATATTGCTTATTCCTGACTTCTGCTGCTGCCACTTCTCAAACCCCCAGAAATAACAAGAGAAATACAACAAAGCAGAAGGAAGAACAGAAAAGTGAGGGGGTGAAGTGTAACTCAGGGTGGAGAGTTAAGATGCACCAGACCCTAGCCATTTCTTCACTGGGATTCAAGAGCTTTACTATTTTTCAGTAAGTCATGATTCCAGCACTATCTGTTCTTTTTATGGAATCATAACATTAGTGACAGATGCATGGCAGGAACCTCCACATCAAAAAGTTCTCTGAGTGTAATAAATGTGTTGATACAGGGCATCTAATCCAGACCAAGAGGTCAGGCAAGGGGAGAAAGAAGTAGGTAAAGTGTCCCTGGCCTTTATGCACAGGTGTGAAAAGAACATGATGAATTTGAAGAAAAGTTTAATAGGAGCAGAGCATCAAAGAAGTTAAGAGAGAGGCTTGGATAGAAGCCAAAATGTAAAGGGCCTGGTATGTAAGAGTTACCACTTGGATTTTATTCTGAAACCACCAAGGAGTTTTTGAACAAGAGACAGGCTGATGTGTGCTTCAGAAAGATCACTTTGACAGAGGTAAAGAATGGACTGGAGGGATGGCAGTTCAGAATCAAGGAGGCTAGTTAAGGGGCCATCAAAAGGGTGGTGGGTGTGGTGGCTCATGCCTGTAATCCTACCACTTTGGGAGGCCAAGGCAGGAGGATCACTTAAGGTCAGGAGTTTGAGACCAACCTGGCCAACATGGTGAAACTGGATCTCTACCAAAAAACACAAAAATGAGCCAGGCATGGTGTCAAGTGCCTGTAGTCCCAGCTACTCGGGAGACTGACGCAGAAGAATCGCTTGAACCTGGGAGGTGGAGGTTGCAGTGAGCTGAGATCGTGCCACTGCACTCCAGCCTGGGCGAGAGCAAGACTTCATCTAAAAAAAAAAAAAAAAAAAAAAAAAAGGGATGGGGCAGCATGTGAGGAGACGCAGAATTCAGGCAATGCAAGAGTGAATCTGATCAACTTACAACTCTGATTAGAACCATTAACGGTTCCCTTTCACTTTCAGGATTCAAGCCCCTGTTCCCTTTACCGTTGTGCAAAGCCCTTGCTAATACAGCTCCCGTTTATCTGTCTAGCCTCACTACTCCTCTCTCCTTCCTTCGTCTACATCCCTACCTTATGGATTACCCTACTCTATTGACCTACTCTAGTTCTGTGAACAGCCATAGTCTTTTTATCTGAGTCTTTGTGCTGTTTCCTCTGCCTAGAATATCATACCCACCTCTGGCCCCATTATTCCTTATGTTTCCATTTTGATGTCTTCACTTCCAGGAAGCATTCTTCCTCCCACCTTCTTGTATGTTCTGATAGTACCCCGTTTATACTCTTACAATGGCATTTTATTGTAAAGCACCTACGACAAGACCCAGCACACCCAGTAGACGCTAAAAATCATATGCATTGCGTGTATTCATATTATAAATTATAAATAAAGGTTTTTTGGTAAGCATTTAGAAAAGTGTGTTTATGGCTGGATGTGGTGGCTCATGCCTGTAATCCCAGCACTTTGGGAGGCTGAGGCAAGTGGATCATCTGAGGTTGGGAGTTCGAGACCAGCCTGACCAACATGAAGAAACCCTGTCTCTACTAAAAAAAATATACAAAATTAGCTGGGCTTGGTGGCGCATGCCTGTAATCCCAGCTGCTAGGGAGGCCAAGGCAGGAGAATCGCTTGAACTTGGGAAGTGGAGGTTGCAGTGAGCCAAGATTAAACCATTGCACTCTAGCCTGGGCAACAAGAACTAAACTCTGTCTCAAAAAAAGAAAAGTGGTTTATGTGGATTATGTAAAGAAAGATGTAGACTAGAAAAAAAATAATCGTAATACTAGTAGAAATACTAATTTCCAGTGTTGAAATACATGGTATCTAATATTTAAAATTGGAAATATACCTTAGTTATTCCTCTTAAGCTTTTAATATTCACAAAATGGCCTCATAAGTTTAAAGTAAACTTTTGATATATTAAAACAAGATTTTCTTTACACAATGTATTTAATTGTGATTCAACTGAAAATCACAAACTTGGCTGAATGTTCTTCTTAGGAACAAGCTCACAACACCTACCTTAGCTGTTCCTGGAATCCAAAGACTAGCTGTCTGAAAAGTTAGATTGGTGATAAAATTATTTGTGTAGTATTTTCTTCCATCAGGATCAAATAATATAATCTCAGGAGGACCGCTGGTCTGCCACGTAACTAGAAAAACAGTGTCATTGCCCACACTGTTATCCATAGTCACAGTGTTTTTCAATTGATGGTGAGGTTTAACATTTTCACCTGTACTTTCAAGCTGTTAAAGAGATGATATATATGAGAGTTTCTGGTGCATGCATAATCGTTCCATCTTTTTCACTTATAACAAACAACAATGAATTGGTAAAAATAAAAATAATTTAATTCTGACAGGTACTATAGTTATTCATAATTTTTCATGTAAAAACACTTTGCAAAGCAAAATATTGCATGTTATTTAAGTACAGTAGGTATAAAATATTTTGTGGTAGTTAATGCAAGTATCATTTCATTATTCTTTGTTAAGAGATTTTAGATGTCCTCATATTATCTCTCATCCAAACCAATATTGGCCTCAGATCAGCAATTATAATAACAAGCTTTTTAAAATTTTCATTTGTGAATATGCTCAAATTTTATTAATTTATATATAATCTCTCCAGATCCTTTTACACATTTCGATAAGAAATAAAATCTTGGGTTTTGGCACAGTTTTATTACATTAAAAATTATTTAGGCTAGGCGCAGTGGCTCATGCCTGTAATCCCAGCACCTTGGAAGGCTGAGGTGGGCTGATCACCTGAGGTCAGGAGTTCGAGACCAGTATGGTCAACATGGTGAAACTCCGTCTCTACTAAAAATACAAAAAAATTAGCCAGGCATGGTGGCATGTGCCTGTAATCTCGGGTCCTCGGAAGGCCTAGGCAGGGGAATTGCTTGAACCAGGGAGGTGAAGGTTGCAGTGAGCCAAGATAGTACCACTGCATGCCAGCCTGGGTGACAGAGTAAGAGTCCGTCTCAAAAAAAAAAATTATTTAGTCATTCACAATAAGCCATGTGTGTGCACATGCATGTGTAACATGTACAGAGTGCAAGCATATGCCTGGCACTGTGCTAAAGGCTTCACAATCTTACTCAAGCCTTATGTAACTCCTCTGTGATAAATTCTATCGTTATCCACATTTTGCAGATGAGAAGAGTAGTCTTAGAGAAGTAATTTGCCGATGTCACATAGCAAGGAATCAGAACGTGATAAAACCCAGTGGGCCTGACACCAGAGCCCCTGCATTTAATCACTGTGTATTTGCAATGGATACAAGTCTGTAAATAACTTTGAAAATTTACATTTATTAAATAAACACATTAGTAATGCTTCATTAAATTGCTCAAACTTGCAAAGCATGTAAAATTATATTGGTGGGTAACAGCAAAGACATTGTGGATTGTTTGTTCAAATCAATTTAATAAATATTTATGGATTGCTGACTGCTGTGCCACATGCTGTGCTGGGCCCTGGGCTGTTGAAGGGGATTTACATATAGTTCCCATCTCTTTACTATAGTCAGTGGGGCTAATGACTCCAACAGCTTCAGGGGAGGGGGACCAGTTTGGGAATGTTAATGATAATTTGATCCCATATGAGTAATATTTTGTTAAATTTGTTTTTTACTTTTTAAACATTTGTTTTTATTCCATATTATTGAAGAGGAAGTCATAGGGCATAAAGATTGAGCATTATCAGAAGAGTCAATTGTAGCCTAATCTGTACTAAATGTTGTCATCTGAAATTCACATTTTTACTTTTTATTGTGAAATTGAGGTTATTGCCTTCACTGTGTAAATATAATCATCATGTTAAATATTTCCCAGCAAGAATTGACAGGCTGCATTGGTCACATCAAGCCATTAACTTGGCAGTTACACTTGCCATCTGTCAGGAAACTATAGATGAAATTTTATTCAAAGCATTATTCACTTATGTCCAAATTATCTTTAAAGTACTTAGAAAAAAATAGCCCTTTAAAAATGACTTAATTAGAGGAAGCTTTTATGGCAAAATTATGTAAGCTGTGGTAGTCAAAGAGATATTTGGATATTTGTGGTAGTTAGACTTTAGTGAAATAGTTGATACATCTTATACAAGGAAGAGCTTAAAAGATGTTGAAGAAGCAAAAATTAGATGAATTCTGAATCCCAGCACTTTGGGAGGCTGAGACGGGTGGATCATGAGGTCAAGAGATTGAGACCATCCTGGTCAACATGGTGAAACTCTGTCTCTACTAAAAATACGAAAATTAGCTGGGCATGGTGGCGCACACCTGTAGTCCCAGCTACTCAGGAGGCTGAGGCAGGAGAATTGCTTGAACCCAGGAAACGGAGGTTGCGGTGACCAGAGATCGCGCCATTGCACTCCAGCCTGGGTAACAAAAGTGAAACTCCGTCTCAAAAAAAAAGAAAAAAAAGATGAATTCTGATTGATGGAAAGTCACTATGACACTAAAACTAAATTCACAGTTTCTTATTTTTCTTCTGCACCTTGCCTCCACCACACCCCAACCTGCACTTTGAGCCACAAGGAAGGAGCAAGCTCCACTCATAGACTTTGAAAAGCTGAGGTGGTGATTGTGAAAAATGGCTCCTAGGGCTGAAAGTCTGGCCCTGGTGATGTCAAGCAGCCTTTTAAAAGTCTTCCATACACAGGCCATTACATATTCAAGTAAGGCTAATGAAGCAGGTAGCACAATTTGTTGATTTCCTTTGTTTCCTTCTCCCTTCCCATTCCCCACCAGGAAATATAACATGGAGAAAATTCTGACCTGAATACGTTGCTGGAAAATGTCTCCAGTTCCAGAGGAAATTCTACTAAAAGCGTCGGTCATGCTATTGGAGTTTGATGTATCTGGAACGAAGAACTTTAAACCTCCTGAAATACATGGTAGGGATGTTAACTATTAAAATAAGTAAAATAAAACAAAAATAAAATGTTAGGCCTTTTCCAACAAACTTTCTTTACATTACAGTGTTTTGGGGAAATGGGAGCTGTGCTTGACTTGCTTTGCCTAACATTCTGTACAACCACATGGTAAGTGGCCCTAGGTGAGTGGTTTCAGCTCTTCTATTCATGGCTGTATTGCCAGGCCATAGAACTTATGCACAGTACATAAGAACTCAATAAACATTTATTAAATAGTCTTAAGATTAAGGTAATTTTTTAGATAATTTGGTTAATTACTATTTACATTTCTATATGTTTACATTTATATTGTGAAAACATTGCTTTTAAAGATAATTCAGTAAAAGCTTTCAGTTGTCAAATCAGCATGCCCATTTTTTATTGAATAAGGAATATAAGATAAAATTATTCTGTGCCTCATTTAGTATAAAAAGACATGTATCTTAAAACACTGTGTGTGTTCCTATTTTAGAAGTTAGTGCATTTAATCTTTTTTCTTTTTAGAGATGGAGTCTCACTCTGTCTCCCAGGCTGTAGTGTAGTAGTGCAATCTCAGCTCACTGCAACCTCTGCCTCCTGGGATCTAGTGATTCCCCTGACTCAGCCTCCCTAGTAGCTGGGATTATAGGAGCCTGCCACCATCCTCGGCAAATTTTTGTATTTTCAGTAGAAGCGGGGTTTCACCATTTTGGTCAGGCTGGTCTCAAACTCGTGACTTCAAGTGATCTGCCCACCTCAACCTTCCAAAGTGCTGGAATTACAGGTGTGAGACACCACACCCAGCCACAGGGCATTTACTCTTAAACATTCATTTTAGCTGCATGATTATGCATGTTCAGACTGGCTTAACACAGAATTATATAATATTATTTTTTGGATGTATATAATTAGGACCTTTAGGGAAAATGTAAAAAAGAAAATCAGCAAAATTTTGACAGATTTTAGCAATATGTGTGTATGTGTGTTTAAAAAGCAAAATGTGTGTGTGTGCAAAAAACTGAATATCCAAGACACAACCGTGAAACTTACAATGAGTTTCACGGTTGTGTCTTGGATATTCAAGTTAAAAGGAAATTCTCTAAAAGATACGTTTATAGAAGTTTATTACCTGTAAGATGTGATAATTCCTCCAGATTTGGGACTGCAGATGAACCCAGGGCAATGGAGTGAATTGTTGAACCACTGCTGAGCACAGTGGGTATGCAATTGCCAATAAGCTTATCATCTCCACTGGTCACTAATATCATCACAGAGCCATAAGTTTTTCCATTCAGCTTTTCAACCACCTAAACATAGAGAATTAGTCATTTGGAAGGAAATGTAGTTCAAATTGTTTTACTGAGCAGAAGAATTCGCTCTAATGCAAATTCCTGTCGTAGCTCCCTACGCTATATGCCCATTCCCACTCAGGCTTTACCTCACCCTATCACAGCATTTGTCACCCTACATTCTACTGCCAGTTTGCTTGTGAGCAGGGAATTTTCCTACTTGAATCATCAAGATGTCCCCATAGTTTTGAGTTGTATCCATCATAGAGGCTATGGTATACACTATTGTTTGACCAATAAGAGGGCCTAGGGCAGTGGTTCTCAGTCTTGGCTACACGTTAGAATTGGATGGGGAGACTTAAAAAATTTTAACAGTCAGGTCACATCCCAGATCAATTAAATCAGAATCTCTTGGGGTGAGACTCACACATTAGTATATTTTTTAATTCCCAGGAGATTTCAATAGATAGCCAATGTTTAGACGACAGGCAGCAACAACCATAGCTGATGTGTCTTGTTTGCTATCAGATAAGCATCCCAGATGCTGAATTCAAACTTGTGTTGGTTTAGATAAACTCTGTCATTCCTGAAACATACCTCTGGCCTTAATTTGTTCTGATATTCTTAAAGTCTAGAATGACTATCAACAGAAGCCAGACATGCTGATTTCCACAAGAAAATCTAGGGGTAAACATGGCCACAGCTGAGACAGTCCCAGAATGGCTAGAACAGTTTAGAAAATGCCCAGATGTTGTTTAGGTCCCCTAGTTTTGGCCACTGTATTCACTGATTTGCTCATTCTGTCAACAAGCATTTATTAAGCAACTAATGTATGCTAGGTACTTTGCTAGGCACAAGGAGTACAATGGTGAATAAGGAATGGTTCCTGACTTGAAAGATAATCCAGCACTACTTTCATAGTTGAGGCTATTATGACCATGCTATAACAGACTGCCCCTCATCAGAGGAAACCTTATATTACCAAATAAGGGAAAGGAAAATGATGGTGATCCAAGGCTTAAGATGCTCTACTGTACCTCAAATCCTTTCTTAAGTCCTGAACAGATGCTGACTTCTGCTTTAGCTGTTACAGTGGTAGGCAGATAGGACACCAGCAACTTCCGATCATCATCACTGTTAATTTGGTGTAGCTGGGCTCTGATCTCTCCCTTGCTATGGAAACTGGCAATGCCCACGAAGGTATGAATTTCAACAATCTGCATCAAATAAAATTCTGCAGCTTGTTGTAGTTGAAGGAGTCTGTCAGCCTGTGTCCCAAAAAGGAAAAAAGAAAATGAGAACATTTGGTGGGTAGACAAAAGTATAACTAAGTAACTCAATTAGCAAACATCTCTGCTAATTCTTTAGAGATGTTGAGTCATAATTTTTTAAGCTTCAAAAAATAACATAATATTAGAATATTGTTTGATTAATGACAGGCTCAAAAAATGCCTGCTTTCAGGGAAGAGAGAGTGACTTGGAGCTTTGCCCTCAACAAGCTTTTCATAATTTACTGCTCTGCATTTCTCATCAGTCCGACTATTTCTCTCCAACCCAGAATTTAAAGATCCATGGACCCAGCTGAGATGAGGTTCGTAACTGCTTTTTAAAAAATGCAAGTCCTGGTAAAAGTAAACATTGCAAAGAGACCTTTGCTAGAGAGGAGTAGCAGTCAGAGGACCCATGATCTGCCCTGGCACTACCCACTGCTATTGTGGTCACCTTATGTCGGGTACTTCATCCATAGAGTGAGGACGATAGCTTTCTTGTTTATTAAATTAGAATTGCTGTGAGGATCAAGTGAGATACATATATGGCAGTACAGTTATACCATGATGGGCTAACCAGGTATAAAGTAATATTAGTGACCAGTTTTGGGCAGGTGATACTACTAATTAGTTCACTAGGGTCACTTGTTTTGAAGGCTCTGGGAAAAGAGAGGAGCAGCAAGTTGAGCTTCAATGACCACCCTCTCCGGGTTGACCCTGATCTCCATCTCTAACTCGGGCATCCTCCTGGGTGGATCTGGACCTACATTTCACACTTCTTAGGACACAGGTTTCTGGTTTAACTAGTTGGGAATGATGACTTGATACCATGAAGATGGCAACTCTACACTTTAAATTCAAATATTGTTTCTCTTAAATATTGGGAAGTTGTAAAAGGGGTAAAACAAAGACTTTGAACTCTGCCTTCAACTTTTGCTAATTATGTGATTGTAGTAAAATTATTTCGTTTTTTTAGCTTCAGTTTTCTCATCTGAAAATGGATACTGAGTAAGCACTCAGAATAGAGTAGCTATTGCTGCCTTCACGGTCATCAGGTTATCATTCCCAGTCTTGATCTCTACTCCCACATAGCTAAGCCAGCAACCCCAATCTCTCTCTTACCATTCCTATGTTACCAGTCTCCATATTCTTAAACAGGTCCCAAAATATCAGTGTCTTAAATTTCTCTATCCCGTTCACCACCTCTCAGATTCACCCAGTATTAGTTATAGTCATAGTCATACCAATGAATGCCTTTCCCTTGACCAAGTCCCTCTTATTTTGCCTCTTGGCCACTGCACACACTTTTGCCTTCCCACAAATGTCCTCCTTTCTTCTCTTTCCTTACATCACCTAATCTAGCAAGCACCTAGTTGAGTCCTAGAAGATTCAACTCTAAGTTGATTCTCTCAGTGAAATCTTCCTTGACCACTTTCTTCTATAGCACCAGGTGCTGCCTCCTCAGTGCTCCCATAGTAACTCACACCTCTGTGGAGCTTGGTCACCTTGTGTTGTATCCAGTCACACATGTGTGTCATGTGGCCCTCATTAGCTGTAAGCATTTCAAAGCAGATACCCTGTTCTTGTCATCTCCGTATCCCTTAGGCCAGTGCAGTGTGGGCACCTGATGAATCAATGGCCATAATGGTTCAATGACTGTTTTTGGCAGGAAAATGGAGGAAAGTTTGGTTTGCCGTGAGTTCATTCCTTTGGGCCTGCTTCTCTTCTACATACTTCAGGTCTACTTTCAAGTACAATCGTTGTTCCTTTTCACTTCATCCATTCTGCTCAATCTGAGACCATATTTGAGAAAAGCATGCCCTAGTCAACTGCAAGTAGGCAACATGTCAAAACTATTCAAATTCTGGCTATATTTGTGGAGTTTTTAGTGTTTCTGATATAAGCCAGAAAAGGCAAGTATTTCAGGACTACTGATCCAGAGAGCACAAGGGGATAAATTCTCTCCTTGGATAAGTACCATTAAAATAAACAGCTACCTCTTATTATTTATTATGAACTAAAAATTTCATATTATCTCATTTACTCCCCCCCAATAACCCTATGAAGTAGGCAGTGGTATGCTGGTAAATGTTTACTAACTGCTTTCTGATGAAGAATGAAAGGAAGGAAGGGAAAAAGGGAAGAAGGGAGGCAGGCAGGCAGGCAGGCAGGCAGGCAGGCAGGCAGGCATAATTCACAGCAACTGCCAGCTTCTGTGGGGTAAACATTCTCCCATGTGTGAAACCATGGTTGATTTCGAGCTGTCAATGTAATGTCAGTGAGTGCACAGTTGGGATGAAACTGTAGTAGCACACCATGCGTATGCAGTAGACCAGAAATAACCTCAAGAATTTAGCTCAGGGGTCAGCAGAAGTTTTCTGTGAAGGGCCAGCTAGTAAATATTTTAGGCTTTTCTGGCCATAAGTTCTTTGTTGCAACTCCCCAACTCTGTTATTGAAAAAATAAAGTACCCATAGACAATATGTTGACAAATGAACATTGCTATATTCCAATAAAATTTTTATTTATGGGCAGCGAAATCTGAATTTCATATAATTTTCCCATGTCATGAAAAATCCTCTTGATTTTTTTTAACCATTTAAAATATAAGTCCATCCTTATTTTGTGAGCCATTCAAAACAGGTAGTGGGACGTAGTTTACTGACCTTGGGCATAGATAATCGTAAAAAATTATAGGAAAAAATGAGAAGTGATGAGTTTTGAGTATTTCATATATTTGTTTTCATATATTTTATTGTAAGCTTACATAGTTTGTTATTAATAGCTGTGTTTAATTACTGGTTTGCAGATTTCCTAAAACTTTAAAAGTTGGCTCTCATGAAAGTAGGCACTATTATCTCTATCTTCCAGATGAGAAAACTGCTTCAGAGAGGCCATCATGCTCTTTATAACAAGGACATATTACACAATAGTGAAGGAGCCAGGATGAAAGCACAGCTGCCTGCTTGCAGAGACTAAGGCTTTAATCACTCAAAGCAGCTGGAGACTGCTAGATTGCCAGATGACTGAGATATAGTCTTCTGCATACAATGACATGGAAAATCTCCATATACTGAACATTCATTTTCACTCCAGATTCACAGTCTGCTTCCTCAACCAGGGATATTTACCAGTGAGCAGAAAGTAGCCAGTAGGAACTTTTCATTACACATAAGAATTTTGGGAAAAGATGTTGGTTGGAAAGAGTTTCAATTAATTAGTAGCAAAAATGAGGGTTAGAAATTATTTGTGTATTTCATTTATCTACATGATCTCAACTTTTGGGCCACATTCTGAATTTGTTCCTCCCACCTCCCCCCATCCCTCAAAATAGGATGTCCTTGGCTATTCCAAACCTTTTGCCTCCTCCAATTCTCACCCTTACCTCCTGAAAATTAAAATAATTAAAAACTGATAGAAAAGGCGTGGTGGCCAGCGCCCGTCGTCCCAGCTACTTGGAAGAGTGAGATGGGAGGACCACTTGAGCCCTAGAGGTCGAGGCTGCAGTGAGCTGAGATTGTGTCACTGCACTATAGCCTGGGTACCACTGTACTCCAGCCTGGGTGACAGTGAGGTGGGAGAGCATCAGGATAAATAGCTAATGCATGTGGGGCTTAATATTTAGGTGATGGGTTGATAGGTACAGCAAACCACCATTGCACACCTTTACCTATGTAACAAACTTGCATGTCCTGCACATGTATCCTGGAACTTAAAATAAAATAAAACAAAATTATAAAGAATTGATAGAAAAAAATGATAAACATTTACATTCATTTTAGTTCAAAACGTTACCTTTGCCATCTTGCTGGACACGTCCAGCACTAAACAGACCACTTTGACACCAGCCTGTATGAGGGAGAATGTGGGAGGAGGTGGAAGCTCAGTCCCATTCATGGGAAAGCTCTGGTGAAAGTCAGTGGAGTCTATGATTACATCCCATGCACTTCTGAGGCTGCACATCTGGTTCTGCAGGTTTGGTGCTTCTTGGTTGTGAGTACTTGCATTACAAAATTCAACCACCTGGCAATAAAAATAGCCTTTAAAAGAAAGGCACTTCTCCCGTACCAGACAAACTTCTCATTCTCAAGGAACTATGGGTAAAAGAAAAGGTGAACTGAAAGAAAGAAAATCAGAGGTGCTACAGTGATATATCTCTTTCCTTCAAGAATGACATCAAATTTACAAATAAACCTTGGCATTCTTGCTGGAAACACTAGCAACTTTGTGGTACTGAGAGCAATTTCTATTAAAATTTATTGTTATTTGGATAACAGAGAGAAAGTCAGGTGTGTGTGTATATATGATTGTACACACACACACACACACACACACACACACACAATCTTAGTCTTAAAAAACAAAGCAAAATGATCTCCCTCCTTCCTTAGCACAATATTGTGTTAAGAAAACAGCCAGGATAAGTTATCTTCAGCAGCCTATGCCTTGGAATAATATTTAATGACCGCTGCACCTTTATTTGTTGATCAGTCAATGTATATTGCTCTAGCTCAAGTATTGATATCTGTAAAAATAGGATAAGGGAATAAACAACTTAAATTTACTTCCTGATCCCCCCTCACCCTCACCCAATTTGGAAATATAGATATAATACACAGAAATATATATATAATTCACTGAATGATACTGAGCCTATGCCAATATCCTACTTAAAAATATGGTTTGCTTTGCTAAGCAATGCATCACCATCTATTCCCAGTGGCTCTATTCCTACAAAGAGTCAATACTTCCTGTTAACAGCGCAATGGAAACTTTGAGGTAGAAGAAACTGAACGGCCTCTCTAATCTCAGCTCTAATTTCATAGAAGAGAACACTGAAGCTTTGAAAGGTTGATAACTGCTTAAGGACCTGAGTTTCTTAGGGAAGTGCGGAGACTGGAGCAGAACCTGGTTTTGCTTTGCTTTGTTTAACCCTTTTTCTTCCATTTCATGACTATGGTTATGGAATTGTTAAACTTTTCTGACAAGATATTTATGAGTAGGTCTTTCAAAAGATCATGAAGATAGCACCTAATCACAAATAATGTGGATCAAATACATTGTTAGTTTCAGATATTAAAGCTACAAATTAAAAATGTAATGGATGAGATAAGAAGTATGAAAAATTGCCTTAGAGTTACAAAATAACTCTTAATCCTGACTAAAACCAGACTGAAATAAAATAGCTTGTTAACCCAGGGGACATTGGTCAGCCATGGAAACAAAGAGAAAACTCCACAGAGGCACATGTGGGCTGTACCTTCAGATCTGTGAATAGATGACCCACAGTGTGACTTATAGGTTTTTGTGAACTTAGATAGATATATCAGGCCATGAAGGCTGATGCCACTAAACCTCTGGATCACCTAATTCCTTCTTTTCCAATTCCATGCTCTCAGACCAGGCATCTGGTGAGAACTGGCTGTTCCAGACTGCTTCATCCAGAGAGAAAATAAGTTGGCCGGAGGATGCAAGTATGAGATCCTTATGACAGAGTGCTCTGTTAAAATAATAATTTTAAAAACAATATTCTGGATTTGTATGATAGTCTCTTGTCAGTTAGTTAGCATGAAATATTGACAAAGTTGGGTTTCTGAACCTGCAAAGCAGAGAGTTGGTTGAATTTCCCTAGTGATACCTTACCTTTCTTTTTAGGTTCTAGACTATTCAAAACAAAGGAAAGAGATGTAGGAACTGCATTTCAAATTCGGAGTGGTCTGCTATAAGTAGCATTTTAAGAAATGAGAGAAATATAATCATTTGTTATATCACTCTCATTAACTCAATGTAATTTCTTATGAAAGGATACAAGAACACCACCATATGAACAATTTATTTCGTGGTCCCCAGAGTCCCCTTGTTAAACCTCCCAGGAAAGCAAATAGTCACGATCCTAAAGGTATTATTTCGGTAATTATCTTGGGGGCTTCAGTTTTTAAATCTGTAGAATAAAATCTAGATCAACTCTAAGGTCCCCCAAGTTCTAAAGTATAGTGCATCTTAATTGTCTTATAATTTAAATACTTGAAACATGGGAAGAGAAGGAATCCTGCAAGAGTTTGTCATTCCAAAGGCATACTTACAGAAGATAAACTTTGCATGAACATTATTGATGCAGTTGCATTTTGGGTGCTATTGTAGATAAAAGTGCATCCTTCTTTAAAAAGCTTACTAATAATACAGTTTTCTTGAGGGCAAGGGCCTTTTTCACACACAAAAATGCCTGTGATATCAGATGAACACCTAAAAATGGAAAGAGAAACTAGGAATTAGGTCTGTTTTAGAAACATTTATGTTTCTTCTTGACTAGCTTATATAATTGTTTCAAGGATTGTAGCCTGCTAGATACATACAAACATTTAAAAACTGCTCTACTGGCCAGGCGTAGTGGCTCACACCTGTAATCCCAGCACTTTGGGAGGCTGAGGTCAGGAGTTTAAGACCAGCCTGGCCAACATGGTGAAACCCCATTTCTACTAAAAATACAAAAATTAGCCCAGCGTGGTGGTGGCTGCCTGCAACCCCAGCTACTCAGGAGGCTGAGGTAGGAGAATCGCTTGAACCCAGGTGGCAGAGGTTACGGTGAGCCAAGATCATGCCATTGCACTCCAGCCAGGGCAACAAGAGTGAAACTCCATCTCAGAAACAAAAAACAAAAACAAAACTGCTTTATTAAGAAAGTTCACTAATTTAGAAATGCATTCTACTTTATTTTTAAGCATTTTATCTTGATGGAGGGATTCTGTATTAACAAGGGCTTTAACGACTAAATAGGATCAAAGCAAAAGATACCAGGAAATCCAGATGGACTTTGGGAATGAGTGGCAATATCCTGGGTCAGCGTTCCTTTGAGTTCATTTCCACTTGCCATCAGGGAAAAAAAGAGAATGAACATGTACTGATAATATTTAACAGGATTCTTTCCTAAATAAGCAATCTCAAATGTTGTTGATGGGAATGAAAAATAGTGCCATTTTTAGGAGAAGAATCAGTCAATATCTACCAAAATCACCCTTTGACCAGTAATTGTTGGAAGAATTTGATATGTGATTCCGTCTGCACACATGAAAAATGACACGTATGTAACGCTATGAACTGCAGTGTTATTGATAATACAAAAGATAGGAAGCAACCTATGTGTCCACCAAGAGGAGACTGGTTGAATAAATTATGATACAGTCACATAATGGAACACTATGCAATTACAAAACGCAGAGCAAGGAAAAACATGTATTTCTAATCATTTGAATTTACCTGAAGAAATACTGAAAAAATAAACAAGAAACTAATCAAAATGGTTACTTAGAGGGCATGAGGGGAAACAGTGAAGATAGTGCTGTGAACAAGACAGCTATAAGCATGACTTTTTATATTATTTTGATATTTGAAACACATCAATACCAATTTAAAAATGACGTATAACTTAAGAACTGAAAACGAAAGGATCTCTTTCTTGTCAATTAAGTTTTAGCTGCAATTAAATTAATTGCTTAATAAAATTAGGCAATAATTTAATTGCTTAAGTTGTAAGCAATTTTAGAGTAAAATAAATAATGAATTATAACATTAGAAAGAGTAATAACCTTGTCACTTTAATTTGATTTTGCCCATTTATGTAGAAAGGTTTGTCATTGTTATACTCATCGAACACACCCCAACGGAGATGGGCCCATTCATGGACAAACACTCGGCCTGTGGAAGAAAAAGCTAGTGAAGACCAACATTTCTTGACTACACATACTCATTCCAAAGAGTTTAAGTTACTTCCCTCTTTCCCCTATCCCATTCCCATCTCCTCCCCCTCCACCCCCACCATCATAAAAAAGGCAGCATGAAAATATGTTTGGTCTTGTAAAAGCAGTAATTTACTTGTTGCACATCTATTTGAAGCTAGTGAGCAGTACCACATCCTCTCATTTCCCCAATGAAGCTGCCCAACAGGTTTCTATTCAGCTTCGTAGCGGCCTCTAAATTCAGGGTTTGGAGAAAGGGAAAGAAGCATGTCCAGATATGCAAATAAAACTTTCCTCATCTTCTGTTTGAGCTATCCAAGCAAGCCTGCCTTTTTTTTTTTTTTCCCTCACAGGTAATTTGTCTATCTAGAGCAATGGTTGAAACCTAGGTACTAGGGAGGGAGGAAGGAGCCAAAAAGGAGATCACAGAATCTTCTCCCTGGATGGTCCTTTCTCTTTTATTTTATTCCTTATTCTCCATGTTTATGTTTATTTTACAGCTTGTAGGTCAGGGAAACACCCATCTTCAGCATGAGATCCTTTAAAACTGTCTATCTCTCTAAATCTTACATTCCTTCAAAGTTCAGACCACAACTTTCTCATATAAGCTTTCCAGATGAACATCCCTCCCAAAGCACACATTTCTTTTATCAATTATTTGAAGTTCTGGGAACTCAGGAAGCGTGTGCTGAGTTGACTTAGGCTGTGGCATATTGTGTAATTTTTGGACCTTGAGACAAAGGAAGGGAGGGTAACAGTGCAAGCT